CTCAATGTTCGAAATGCAAGGTTTTTGGACATACTACGAATTCTTGCCAGAAAGGGGGTCCTCGTAAACAACAGGAGATTACCAAGGTGGTACAAAATGATGGGTTTATAGAGAAAAAGAGTAAACAATGGAGACAGAAACAAAGTTCAGGACYTAATAATGGTGCTCAGGCCTCTTCTTCGGGAGATCCTTCTCTTTTGCGTGAAACTTTGGTGGGAGTTGGCACGCTTAAGCCGATTCCTGATAAACAGACTACTTTGGGGGTTACTCAAAAGGATAAGGAAGCAGTTCTGGGGGTTGATTCTGATCCATCCATAGGGGAACGTCGGGATCCTGCTGAAAGTCAATTCTGTACGGTGGATGCTGGGCGTACGCCAAAAGGTAGGGATGAGGAAGCGAATGTGACTTTTCGATCAAAACGGGGTCCGGAACTTGTTAAAGGAGTGCTTAAAGCGATGAAACCAAGGCGTGGTGCTGTGTCTATTACGTCTACGAGTAATAGATTCTTCCCTCTACCTTCTGACTCTAGTGATGATGATGATATGGAAATAATAGACACAGAGGGGCACTCTTTGGATTATAGCAAAGGGGCHAGATCCACTCCAACTTCTCAATGATAAAGATTGCTGCGTGGAATATTAGGGGTCTTAATTCCCTAATAAAGCAAAAGGAGGTACGTGATCCTATTTATTTAAAGCATTTGTCTTTATGTTGCATCATTGAGTCCAAAGTCATACATAGTCATTTGGGGGATGTCTGTGGTAAAGTTTTTGGAAATTGGAGTTGGATCTTGAATGGGAACTTGTGTGATCAAGGTACTCGTATTATTATTGCATGGGACCCAACGGTGTTGTCCGTTCTTATGATTGAGCAGCACCAACAATATGTCCACTGTGAGATTAGGATTTTTGGGCAGCTTGATCCTATTTTTATTACCTTTGTCTATGGGAGTAATTCGGGTGTGGATAGGCGTGAGCTCTGGCGGGCTTTTGGAGAATTCCATGT